GTATAACATTATAACATGATATAAAACTCAAAAAAGTTGATTTTACATGATATTGCCCCTTTTAAGAAGTCTAAAATTTGAAAATTAAAATGTTAAACCTAAAAAAAAGTCTTAAAAATGCCCAGTTTTTCATCCAAGTTCTTCAATTTAATTTTGTCAAGTCTTAATTTTTTTACTTGTGACCTTTTCCAAGAAGCATTGGTTGCATAAATAAATAAAGCGCTGTAATCAGAGGTTGATGCAATCTGTCTTCATGAAGTGCTAAGTTTGCTAACCAGTCTTGGTACGTGGTTAAACTAAAAATCCCGTGACAACTGCAGGCAAAAACAGGCACAGTTTAGTTTCATGTTTTCGACTTCTTTGCCGCTACAACTCTCCATACTGCAGCTTGTTCACCCGCCCAAAAAACAAAGAAGTTCAGTCATGTCCGTGGTTTGTCATTTAAACACGGGAAAGCGTGTTTTCAATGAGACTTGGCTTGATAACAGTGATTTGTGCACTCGGTTGATATCAAGGTATCAGATATGAATGTTTCATTAAAACAATTTAGTGTTCTTGTATTAAAATAAATATTATTTAATAGCTAAATAGATATCAATAAAAGGTTTCTATGTTAAAATTTCTGGGACCATTTGAATGCTTCTGTCAATGCGTCGGTTTGGTCTTAAATGTCATTCCTAATTGACTTAAAAGGTCTTTAAAAGGTTTTAAATTTAACTTACTGAAACCTGCATGAACCCTGATTTTTATGTATATAAACAGTTTAAGCAGCTTTTATCTTCAGCTAGGCCTGTCGCGTTGAGTAACAAATCACTTAATCATTAAATTAAAATGAGGTTGATAATCTTCATTTACCTACTTGTTTTTTTTCGTGTCTACCTCTTTTCTACTCCTTAAGGCCTCTGCATACTCCCCCCCCGAAGCCGAACAGTCGATGCGCAGTCACGTGGTTTTTCAGCATTCGTTTTCACACACACCTTTCATAGTCCCTGAGACACCCTGTGCCGAGCTCCCGGGAAACCCCTCCCGCTGCAGCATACACCACTACAGGGGGGTTCCTCCCACAGTGCGGGGAAAAATACATCGGACTTGTCACCCGATGTTATTTATCCACAAATCTGTCCCCGTTAAAGCTCCAAAGGTTTTATCGGTCAGATTCTACCGTGCAAAATGCCTCTTGAAAAATGCAGTGTCTGAGCGCTTTCAAAATGAACAAACACTCCCATTAATTGCTAACCAATCGCACAATAAAGTTCTTATGTGGAGGGGGTACAAAGTTWGACCCGCGGGTTGTGTCAAGAAGTTGCCGAAATGTCGACAATGTGAACAGAATGGTGCAATTTTCATCATGAAACTGCGACAATCCCATTTCTGCAGTTCAGAGGGAGTATGCAGGGAAGAGTTAACTCTGGTGTCAGATATTTTTAGGTGCATGGTCTCTAACCTCTAGCATGAGAGCCACGTGAGTAGGCATTTAGCTAGAGAAGCAACTTCAGTCTGACGCCTTCTTTCACCTGGCGACGCCTCAGGGACCCCCCTCAGTTTTTCATTGATTGATATTTTATTGATCCCAAGGGGAAATTATAGTTCAGAACACCCTCTCACAAGAAAAAACRTAAACAAACATGGAGAACAGGTGCCCCCAGGTCTTGCAGCCATAGACCCTGCACAGGGCAAGGATCATCATGAGTAGGCCCTACCTTAACAGCTGGAAATACACAAAAGGAAAGCGGAGTTAAAAAAATTGCTCTGATCTTATGTTTACATCAGAAACATAAGATCATATGCACAAAAAATGACACGTGATACACAGCTACAATTTAAAATGCATACAAGCTATAATTTAAGAATTATTTTAAGTGGTGTTTGGTTGACCGCAGTTATTTTATGAATGAGGATAGACGAGGGGGAATAAAATTTACAGCTTCAGTAGCTGTAGTGTTTTCACCGACTTCGGTCCAGGTCAGTTTTTTTTTATTTTTATTTCCTTTTTAACGTACATAATTTTATTTTTAAGGTTCGTAGTTAAAATGCTCTTCATAAAAAACAGTTTATTGCAATTATTTCTGACAATTTATTGTCCAGCAAAATTTATCGTGGCAGGCCTACCTTCACCTAGCTGCACTGTTTCAGGTTGGTTGGTTGGTTGGTGAATGTAAACCTCGTTTCAGTTACGGTAATCAGTTTTGTCATTATAAGGTTTGACCAAAGCAACTACAACTCTAACTTTTTCTTCCAGGTTTAATGTAAAGATAAACTGCAGGAAAATGTTATATCTTAATTGTCATWTATTTATTTTTTTGCTTTTTGCACTAGAAATCAATTATCACAGCAACTTGAGAAGGGGACCAGAACCTGTGGTAGCTCTGACAGATTTGAGCAGTTTAAATAAGAGGCATATTTTTAGTTGCAGYGTCAGAGTGGTGGAAGCAGCTGTGAATTCTGTTTGCAGTCAGCATTTATTAGCAGAGAACAACCAGTGTTTGCAGATATTTTTTGCTTGAGGAGTTGCACACTGTGTGAGAGAAAAGTCCTGTGTCTGCTACATTTCACTAATTCTAATTTGGACCCAAACTTTATAGGTTTTGCTTGTTTGTGAGCACTGGAATCCCACAGCTCAGAGTGAAAATAAACCTCTGCTTCAAGTTGAGTTTAATATTTGGATTGGCCTCAAGATGCCTTACTGTTCAAACTATAATTAGTATTTGCGTTTTCCACACGTTGGATGTGTTTCCTTGTRTTTTTCTCACTAAAAATATGACAAAGTTGCAAAATGTTTTTCCATAACTGAACGGTTTCATCAGTGGAGCAATATCTACATTATGTCGCCTGAAACAAACAGTTATAAAAAAAGGGATAAATGCTTAAAGTTGTTGCTGTTTTTGCTGTAAATGAGTCACAGCCTGAGGTCATGTTTGAATAAATGTGGCCCACCCTGAGATCAGTCTGAACAGTGTTCATCACTGCATGTGGCACTCACTTTAACRGTTTCCTTCCAGGTTTCTTATGCACGTCCAAGCTCCGCCTCCATCAGAGATGCCAATCTGTACGTCAGCGGTCTACCAAAAACCATGCCGCAGAAAGAACTGGAGCAGCTCTTCTCTCAGTACGGACGCATCATTACCTCACGGATTCTGGTGGACCAGGTGACTGGTGAGTGGAACATGGCTGCTCCCCCACTCTTCCCTCTTTTTTTTTTTGGGTCCTTTTTTTATTTATTTTTCATTTTCACACTTCCGCCTCTCCTTTTCCCCTGAGACTGCTGAACAAAATGACTCTGCCAGGGCTGAGAAATGCTTCAGAGGTGGTGATGTGAGGCGCCCAAAAAYGCAATTTTCCACTAGAGGTGTTCATAAATATGCATCGCTGGGATATGAAAATGGGTGTAAAGTAGCAGCTCTTCCAAAATTTTTTCTCCAGTTTTTTTTAAGCACTTCTCCCCATTTTTACTTTCCATCCCTACAGTGCACATGTGATGTGTGTTTTGCTGCATAAAATGAAATGCAATTAGAACAGCATTTCTCAGCAGTCTTGTGGAAGTGGAAACCTTTTATTAGTAAAAAAAACTAAAGAATCCCAGTGAAGATTTTACCAAGTGAAGTTTCTTGTGCTGCTAAAACACAACCGTTGACACTGAGGGAAGCAGACAAATCACTGATGGTTTTAACGGACTAATCTCAGCTGCCACTTGAATTATGACTGTTTTTCAGTTTTTTTTTTCCTCCGGAACGATTGTAATAATTCTTAAAATTTGTACTTTTATTTTAATTWTTTTTTATTTTGCCACTTCAGTAGAAAGCAGAACTGAATATTAG